CGAAAACATAACTTCCCTGGCAGAGGTAACTAGAAAAGGCTAAATTTTCTGAAGAAAATTTGCGTGCTTGCTTCAACGAGAAAAGTTGAAGAGGTTGGCTTATAAAATGAAGGTGCTTGGAAACTGAGAGGCAAAGGAAATTGCTGAAGAGATGTTGAATAAATGCTGAAATGTAAACACAAGACTTTAAAGCTGAAAGTAATTGTTTAAGGAAATGTGACTTTTCAGCTGCATCATGACTGAGTCTACTCCGCTTCAACCCAGCTGTAAAAAAAAAAATGGTCAATTAGAGTCAATGAGGTTGACGCATCTTTCTCTATGGCTCTGTGCGTATGTAGGTCCACACTGTGCATGCTGAGAAATTAGCTTTATGGTGGAGCAAACATGGCAGGCCTCATTGGCAGACTCCTGCAGCTGTTGTTGCTTATAGCTCATTGTCAGTGTCTCCCCCAGTCCCGAACTATACAACGCTGACCTCGCCAAGTAGTGAAATGCTACTATTCGCGGCTCTCTATTCATTTCTGTGCACTGTGTTTGCTAGCTAAATAGCTAATAATAGCAAGCTGCAATATATTGTTAACACATGTTGTGATATTATTCACAGCCCCCTTTTTATTTGTGCTATTATTAGCTCGTTAGCTCGCGAACACACAGCGCACAGAACGTGTTCGAAACGGGTTGAACTTGGGAGTTGAAATTGCCATCACTACAGATGACATAATCAATAGCTAGCTAACGTTAACTATAAAGTACTCAATGAGTCACGGAAAAATTACGTCTGCTGGCGTAGCAAGGATGGCAGTTACGGTCATTTTGATGACAATATTTCGCCTGTTTTAGATACGATCGTAAATATATCTAGCTAGTGCGAACAGTTGCTTGTATATACTGGAATAGGAGCTTGAGCAATTCTTTTCTGCTTTGCTATTTTTTACCGTAACGTGTTCTCATGGACCTGCCCTGCAAGAAGACCGGTCTTTTCTGCCCTAAATGTGCTCTCTTGGAGCTGGTTTGAGCGACGGTGCAAACAACGATGCCGAAAATTCTTTCACTGAGTTTGACGCAGAAGAATGAGATTTGTCTAACAGACGTATCAATCTTTATCCAAACAATGATAATGCTGAGGCCAGGAAAAAGTCCAGCAGAGGGCAGAATTGAACCGCAATACCGCTATGCCACAATTTTGCTGAGTCACTCTGAGCCATTTGAATTAATAGTTAAAGCATTTGGTCCAATGGAGATTTTAGCTAAGGTGTCTCTTACATACTAATGCCTCTACCTCAAAGACAGTAAGTCCAATTTCCGAAATGGAGGTACCATACTGAAGAGGATAGTCTGCTGAGCAAAATATGTCAAAATTGTGTGTATAGTGCCAAAAATGTGGCAACACGAGCAAGCTATAAAACCATGTTTTTCAGCTTCCCAACCGGAATTTTCTTGTCTTGTTTAATATAGCAATTAATGGAGTTTTGGTTAGTGCTCCTGTCGCTTTTCGGCTCATACTACCAAAACCATCTGTCCAATTGCTTGCATAGTTACAATTTCATGACCAGCACAACTTTTGCTACAACTTGGATATAAAAATATTTATGTGGAGTGAAAACTGTGGGAGTTAGAGCAAGTTTAAGAGCAGACTTCTTGACAATTTTACAGCTGTTCGCCACTCTAACAGTGACGTCACCACACTGTAAGATCCCAGAATTTATTATAACAAAAATTATTTTTAAAAATCACAATTAAAAAATTATAGAAGTCACAAAAAATTTGAACAGTGAAGAAAGAATACAAGCTTAACTTAACATTTTGCAGTTTGAATGACATTTCTAGCTAAAAGTATGGCAGAGTAAAAAAAAAACATTAGAAAATAGCTGAATCTACTGAATCAGCTCAACAATGGCTTAATTCAATAGGACCCCAAAAAATGACATCTAAAATTAAATATCTCAATAACTAAAAAGAAAATGCAACGGAATTCAGAACAAGCTGAATTTTTAGAGTTTGAACGGAATCAATAGCTTAAACATTGTGGGAGGAGTTAGTCGGAAAAATTTAGCCAGAAGAAGAAGAAGAAGTAAGAGAATAGAGTGCGCTGCTTCGCTGAAGCAAGCACCCGATTATCTGAATCAAACTTCTTTTATAAAATCCATGGAGTCAACTCGAGGGAACATGGGGGAAAGGGCGGCCTCAAGTGGTTCATATTCGCAGTGGTGACAAGTGAAGTCATTTTCCAAATCTGCGTGGTGCTCACGTCCTGAGTAAAACATTGCCTGAAATTTTGAACACATTGTGTAAATAGGACAGGGCCGAACAGATTTGGCATGAAAGAGGAGGAGTGTAATTGATAAACATTTCATGCTTCCTACCCAAACCGTTTGTGACCATACAAGAAAATGCCACCTGCAATTTTCACAAAGCTGACCTTGACACAACCTTTGTGCGAATTCCCATTGTTTTGCTGTTCCTAATGTTCTGGACTTCAGCCTGTCTTCTTCAATTACTGTATTCATGGTAATAAAAATTCCTTAGTGGATTATACCCAGAATCTGTGTTTGGTTCCATGTCTGGATCATAAGCGGTACAATCCAGCCGAGCAATGGAACCAGCAGACTCTCCCAGACCGGCTACTGAGGGGGCCTCCCTGAGTGTGTCTGACCCAGGGGCTGCTGCCCAGCCTTCCAGAGTCTGCAATGCCTAATCTCCCAGACTCTTTGCTGCCCAATGCTCTAGAGTGTACAGTGCCTAGTATTCCAGAGTCTGTGCTGCTCACTGCTCAAGCATCTGTGCTGCCCAGTGCCACAGACTAACCAAGCCTGGTGGATGCCTTTAGGTTGCAAAAGGATCAGATTGGTCAGCAAGAACTAGAGCTCCACCAGCTACATCAATCCATTGGCACAAACCCAAATCAACTTATGGCTGTTATTGACATCTCCTAGGATTCCACTGCCACTGCTTGGCTGCATGAGAGACAGAAGGATCAGTAGGAGAGGTTGCAGGCTCCTGTACTGTCCAAGTGCTAACATACTCTGCTTCAGGCCATGCTCCCCCCTGACTCCCTTGGAACCTATGGCAGTGGACTTGGCCCGGCTACATCTGCCGAATGACTGCAATGGATCCAGCAGGGTCTATAACCTCTTCTGCTGAAGCGCCTTAATTGCTGTATGTCCTGTCCAGCGATCTTGCCCTACCTCTTTAGGAGAGTAACTGTCCGGAGCTGTTGTTTTTGGCCTCTCAACCACTCTAACCCATTTGTCTGAACTTGCGGGGGCACCAGACCTCCGTTAAGGGGCTTGTCAGCTCAGGGGGAGATGGGAACTTTGTCCATCCTGGTCTGGATTTTCTCCTGATGATTCCAACTGAACCCCTGCCAGGGTCTATTTGCTCCCAAGGCCTCATGGGGATTGCCTTCCCGGACGTTACCTACGTTTCCAAGCCAGTGCCCCTGCTGACCTCTGGTAACCATTCTGAAGAGCTGGCCTTTTACATCCTGGAGTCATTGGTGGTGCTGGGATGGCCCTGGGTGGAATGCCATGATCCTCATGTGGATTGGCCCTTTGGGTCCGTACTGGAGTGGAGTTCATCCTCTTCATAAACCTGCCTTCTTTCAGCCCCCAGAACTGTTGCAACTCTTCCTCCTGACCACAAGGGGGAGCTGACAGACCTGAAGACAGCGGCAGCCTGGCCATCTGGACATTCTGGAAGGCCGTTTGTCCAACAGCCGTCGGCTTGCTTCATCTAACTCAGGGATACTCACTCTTTTCCAGAATGAGCCAGTGTGGGTGCAGGCTTTCATTCTAACCAACCAGTCACACACCTAATTCTACTAATCAAGGGTTTATGGCAGAACTTTTAAGGGTTGACTAGTGGAATCAGACGTGTGACTGGTAGGTTAGAATGAAAACCTGCACCCACAGCAGCTCATTCTGGAAAAGAGTGAGTAGCCCTGATCTAACCGAACAGTCAGAGTGATGTTGACTGTTGACAGCAGAGGGCGCTGATGCAGTCAATTATTTTCTAAGAATTTTAAAAAATTCATCATAATTCTGCTTCAACCAGAACTTGTTGTTGTGATATCATTTGTGACCTTTCAATCAGGTGTCGATACTTGTGTTCCATTGGATCTTATAGCTCTCAATCATGAGACCTGAGGATTTCCTTCAATATTCAAAAACATAGGTCCCTGGACACAGTTACAGATTGGAACTAAAAACCTCCTGATCTGCGGTCGAATTATTAACCACTGAATTACACCCCCTTAAAGCTATTCTTTAGTAGACATTGTAAAACAAAATACAAGTGAACTTGCAAACCCTACTCTAAAAGACATTCAGCCCCTCTAAAAGGAGTATTGCTTCCTAAGTAGCACTGGAGTAATCAAAACTGTCTGCAGACACCAAATTTGCCTTAATTTTTCTCTTTAACCTGAACTAAGTCCAAGAACTTGAAAAATAAGCAGCAAAGCATGAACGCAGAACTTCTTGGTTATAGGTCTGATTCGACTCATGCTTGATGCTGTGAGATCATTTGTGGACCTTTCAGTCAGGTGCCATTATTTGTGTGACAATAGGCCTTGTAGCTCTCACTATTAGCCTGAGGATGTCCCTCAATGTTTAAAAGTACAGCTCCTGTATATGGTTGCAGGGAGCACCCCAGACTTAAACTATGGCCTTCTTGATTGGGACTCAAATGCTCAATCACTAAGCTATGCCCTCTTGCTGCTGTTTTTCAATAGACATAATAAAACAGAACACTAGCTAACTCACAAACCCCACTCCATCTAAAGACATTTTGTCCCTACTAAACAGATGCCTCCAAAGTGCTACAAAAGTAATTAAAAATGTTTGCAGACACTTGATTTCCTTTTGGTTTTCACATGAACATGAAAAATACACAATATTGAAGAATTAGCAGCATAGCATGAAGACAAAACATTTTGTTATAATTCATTCTTGGCCTCAGGCTACCCTTCCATATTCAAAAGCATATCTCTGAGACATGGTTTCAGGAGGCACCTAAATTTGAACTGGGGACCTCGTCACCTGCTGTCAAGTGCTCTGCCACTGAGCTATGCCTCCCTACTGCAAATTATGGGCAGAAATTTAATAACAGGGAATAAGTGAACTCATAAACCCTGCTCTATCAAAAGACATTCAGTCTTCTAATAATAGAGCAATTCTTCCGAAGTAGCACAGGTGCAATCAGAACTGTTTGCAGACTTTTTATTTCCCAAGTTTTCACTTGAATCTGAACAAGGTAAGTTTTCACTCAAACCTGAACGAAGTGATAATTGTGTGATAATTTGTGGACCCAACAATTTGGCATCATTATTCATGCTTCATAGGGTCTTGTAGCTCTGAAGCTTGGCCTGAAGATGTGCTTCAGTTTTCAAAAATATTGCTCCCATCAACAATTGCAGGCACTACCCAGATATGAAATGGGGCCCTGTTGATCTGCAGTGAAATGGTCTACAAATGAGCTGTACCCCCTTAAAACTGTTTTTTATTACACATTGTACAAAAGAATACATTCCTGTAACAAACCCTACTCCATCAAAAAACATTCAGTCCCTGAAAAATAGAATAAAGCTTCCTATGTGGGACAGGAGTAATGAAAATTGTTTGATGACCTCTAATTTTTGTTTTCACGTGAATGCGAAGAATTGTGACAAAATTGAAGAATTAGTGGTGGAACATGGAGACAAAATGTCTTGTTATTATTCTGCTTCACCCAACACTTGCTGTTGTGAAATTATGTGGACTTTTAAATCGGACACTGTTAGGCCTTGTTCAGACTGCTAGCCCAAATCCGATTTTTTGCATATCCATATTGTCTCTAGCTTGAATTTCGGGTGGTCTGAACAGCAGAAAACCACATGAAATGCAAATTTTCCCGAATCTGATTCAACCTACATACGGAGGTGGTTTCAATTGCGATTCCAATCGGATTTGTCTCGATCTGAACAGTCTAACCACTTGAATAGGATTTGAATGTGCCCCTTTCGTCATTTGCACCACCATAAACAATTATAACGTAATTCTGTGTGACGGAAGTGATTGATTCAGACAGTGGGGCCAGTTGTGACCGCTACAAAAAAAAAAAGAACACAGGAACCTCATCCGTTTCTGGCGTTTTCTCACAAATCGTAAAATTCGCGCCATGGCTACGCATAATAATTTGATAGATTTCCAAAATCAATCCTCTGTTGTCCATGACGGCTTGTTTGTGTAAAATTCTACCTAATCAATCCAGGTGTGTGTAATTTATATCGGATCTGAGCACTGCACAATAGGGATGCCAAGATCGGATGTGATCACTTGTAATACGCAATGAGAACGGTCAGTCAGAAAGATCAGATTTTGATCGGATATGCAAAAAAATCAGATTTGGACTGCAATCTGAACATAGCCTTAGTCATATTGCATTGGGACAAGCAGTTTTCAATCATGGCCTCAGTCTACCCTGACATGCTCAGAAACACATTGACAGGACACAGTTAGAAGGGGCACCCAGATTTGAACTGGGGACCTCTTGATCTGCAGTCAAATGCTCTACCACTGAGCTATACCCCCCTGATGCCTTATAGAATAAGTTATTGAAAAAAAGAAAATAAGTGACTTTACAAACCCTGCTCTTTCAAAAGACATTCGTCCTTTCAAAGGAGAGTAATTCTTCCCCAAGTAGTAAAGGAGTCATCAAATTTGTTAGCAGACATGTAACTTGTCTTAAGTTTTCACTTTAACCTAAATAAAATCTAAAAACTTGAAGAATAAGGAGTGGAGTGTGAAGCCAAAACAATTTGATATAACTCTCCTCCAACCAACTCTTGAGTTTGTCTGAGAAATTGTGGGCCTCAGGATGTCCATCAATCTTCATCCGTACTGCTCCTGGACACAGTTGCACGCACTACCCACATTTGAAATGGGGCCCTGTTGATCTGCAGTCAAATGCACTACGAATGGGCTATACTCCCACTGATGATATTTTTTTTGTCAGACATTGCAAAACTGAATGCATTTCAAGTTACTGTACAAAAGCGCACGCCATCAAAAACATTCAGGCCCTGCCAAATAGAATAATGCTTCCCAGGTGGCACAGGAGCAATGAAAATTGTCATCTGACCTCTAATTTCACTTAAGTTTTCACAAGAATGCAAAAAAAAAATCCACAAATTTGAAGAATTAGTAGCAGAACATGAAGACAAATCATTTTGTTACAATTTTGCTTCAAACGATACTCCTGTTTTTTTTTTTTTTTTACTGAGGGGACTAGGTCACGCTGGTGTCGGAAATAAAAGTTCCCATTCATTTACCCATGCACTGTTTTAAATGTTCTTTTTTGAAGCACTTTTCGTTCTTTCCAAGCCTCCATCGATTTCAAGAATTTGCATCATAATTCTGAATGCCTACAAATGTAGTTTTTCTTGACTGTATTTCACCCATAATTTAAATCAATTTAATTTATCGCCACCATCCTAATCCTCCTTGTAGTGAAAAAAAACTACACGTCGCATAATCCTCCTGATTCACGGGCAGAACGAGTTCATTGATATGCATTAAAAATTATCAAGCATCTTTCCATATTTGTTTGTTTAGCCTGGTTAGAGCATGCTAATTGTTAAGTACTCAGAGGTCTGCTTAGTCATGCTTACCAGTGAACTAGCTGTTAGCTAGGTTTGTAGTTAGCTAACATAATATTTGTTGCATTTAAATGCCAGCTAGCGAAATGCTCACGGTTCAACGCTAACTAAGTAGCCAAAAAAATTACAATTTACGTTTTTTTTTAATTGACTTACCTAGCTCGGTAGCGAGGCTAGCAAACTAGCAAGCTTGCTATTTTGCTAGCTTATTTGCTTATATTTGGTGAATATTACTGCTAGCTAGCTTGCTAAATTACAGTGAGTAATACTAAACTAAGCATTTACTGTTTGCTATCAAATTATGTACACCAGGGGTAATTAGCTAATTAGTTGGCTAGGTAGGTATTTTGCTGGATTTGCTAGTTACATTTGGTGCATATCAATGCTAATTAGTTAGCTATATTGCAAAATATGTATAAGGATTTTGCAAAAGGGGACCACAAACTGGAATACAAATGCCAATGCATAATATTTATGACAATGAACAACAAAGTTGATGTTACCTTTTGGCTCCGTACACCCGGTAGGGTAATCCTGGAGGGATCTATTTCATGAAATTAATTTGAGGTTGAGCAATTCCGGAAAGTATCCAAACCCCATTATACATTTCAATGGGGATTTTATTTCTGTCACCAAAATATAAGTAGCTGTGATGAAGTCAACTTAATATGCTATTTGGAGTACATTCAATCACACATTGTTACCTGTAGCTTATTGGGGCTTGAAGCCCACAATCCAGGTTTGACAAATTCTTTCAATGTCCTTAAGCATGACTCTTGGACACAGCATCAAGGGGCATCCAGAGTTGAACTGGGGACCTCTTGATCTGCAGTCAAATGCACTACCACTGAGCTACACCCCATGATGCCCTCTTGGGGAAGATATTGCAAAACAGAAAATAAGTAAACTGAAAACCCTCACGCTATCAAAAGACCTTCAATATTTACTAAGTACATTAATTCTTCCCAACTAGCACAGGTGTAATCAAAGTTGTTTTCAGACCCTTAATTTCCCTTAAGTGTTCACTTAAACCTGAACAAAGCCCAAAAACTTGAAAACTAAGGAATGGAGCATGAAGCCAAAACAATTTGTTATAATTCTGCTTCGACCAACCCTTGATTCTGTGTGAAAACTTGTGGACCCAACAATTTGGCATCATTATTCATGCTTCATAGGGTCTTGTAGCTCTGAAGCTTGGCCTGAAGATTTCCTTCAGTTTTCAAAAATATTGCTCCCATCAACAATTGCAGGCACTACCCAGATATGAAATGGGGCCCTGTTGATCTGCAGTGAAATGGTCTACAAATGAGCTGTACCCCCTTAAACTGTTTGTTATTACACATTGTACAAAACAATACATTCCCGTAAGAAACCCTACTCCATCAAAAACATTCAGTCCCTGAAAAATAGAATGAAGCTTCCCATGTGGGACAGGAGTAATGAAAATTGTTTGATGACCTCTAATTTTTGTTTTCACGTGAATGCGAAGAATTGCGACAATATTGAAGAATTAGTGGTGGAACGTGGGACAAAATGTGTAGTTATTATTTTGCTTCACCAAACACAAGCTGTTGTGAGATCATTTGTGGACTTTGAAATCAATCATTGTTAGTCATGTTACACTGGGACAAGAAGCTTTCGGTCATGGCCTCAGGCTACCCTGACATGCTCAAAAGCACATTTCTGGGACACAGTCAGAGGGGGCACCCAGATTTGAACTGGGGACCTCTTGATCTGCAGTCAAATGCTCTACCACTGAGCTATACCCCCCTGATGCTTTATATCTAAACAAGTTATTGAAAAAAAAAAAATAAGTGACTTTACAAACCCTGCTCTTTCAAAAAGACATTCGTCCTTTCAAAGGAGAGTAATTCTTCCCCAAGTAGTAAAGGAGTCATCAAATTTGTTAGCAGACATGTAACTTGTCTTAAGTTTTCACTTTAACCTAAATAAAATCTAAAAACTTGAAGAATAAGGAGTGGAGTGTGAAGCCAAAACAATTTGATATAACTCTCCTCCAACCAACTCTTGAGTTTGTCTGAGAAATTGTGGGCCTCAGGATGTCCATCAATCTTCATCCGTACTGCTCCTGGACACAGTTGCACGCACTACCCACATTTGAAATGGGGCCCTGTTGATCTGCAGTCAAATGCACTACGAATGGGCTATACTCCCACTGATGATATTTTTTGTCAGACATTGCAAAACTGAATGCATTCAAGTTACTGTACAAAGCGCAGGCCATCAAAAACATTCAGTCCCTGCCAAATAGAATAATGCTTCCCAAGTGGCACAGGAGCAATGAAAATTGTCATCTGACCTCTAATTTCACTTATATTTTCACAAGAATGCAAAAAAAATCCACAAATTTGAAGAATTAGTAGCAGAACATGAAGACAAATCATTTTGTTACAATTTTGCTTCAAACGATACTCCTGT